TCAAGCACAAATACTTGTCAGATTGACATATTTGTTGGTCAATTTCGAGCATGCTAAAGTGGCTGTTGTGATCAATTTTGTCTAGATTTATGGTTGCTTCTTATGTTCACTTCCTTATTTAGTTACAGACAGAAAGTCCCGCATCAAACTAGCTTTACATTGATCCCCAAATTAGAAAATAGTGATTAAAAAGAGAAAAGTATAGACTCAATTTACCTATGTTCCAAATTTCTAAATAAAACATTGGCTATCCAAATCCAACAATGTATTAAAGTTTTACTATGGTTAAGCATAATTTGCCCTGAGAAAACAATGGTTTAATATTTGCAAATTTGTCAAGAAATACACTACATTAATAGACTGAAAGAGAAATAGAAAATTATTTGCAAAGAAGGCATTTGATAATGATAAAAACTTATATAGAAGACTAAGAACAGAAACTTCCTAAACTTGCTAATGTTTACATGATAAACACCTATGGTAAATATTACATTTACTAGAGACATTTTAGAGGTATCTACCCCTCTAAGTTCCAAAGAAGAAAATAGAGTCTGATGTTCATTATCACCCCTGTGATCTAACTATTTAATTCTAGATCTTAGTCAATAATATAATAAAAATAAAACAAAGGAGTAATGAGATGACCCATATCAAAAAAGCTAGAATTCCACCATCTTGATTCCCCAGCTCCTTGACAGCATATTGGTTGCACTAGTGACTTTGCCACATCACATCTAGCCTCCTGAAGATCACCTCTTTTTTTTTTTTATTTTTCCCTTGTTCTCCCCATCGACAAGATGACACACTACAACACGGATGGAGCGAGAAGGGATCATGCTCACTGAAATAAGTCAGAAGGAAGTAGAAAAATATCGGATAGCTTCACTTATAGAAGGAATATAGGGAAACAAGGGAAAAATAAGGCATCAGGAGAAAAAATAATAACAATACAAAGCACAACAAAACAAACAGACAAATAAAAGCCAGCACCATCCTGCAGGAGAAGGGGAGGGATCAGGATGGAAGGAGCACAGAGGACTGTGGTATTGATGCAGGGTGAACTGGGGAGGAAATTCCAATGGGGTCTACACCTGGGGGGGGGGAAGTAAACATCGTTTTAAAATGAACAACGATGTAATATATAAATAAATAAATTCAACTTTAAAAACAAACAAGAAAATTAGAAGTTAGAAGCACCGGAACAACTATGACTGCGTGGAAGATAGACTGGTCCTAAGGAAAGCAGTATGAAGGTTTCTCAAATTATTACAAATCGGTCTATCATATGATCCAACAATTCTACAACTAAGTATTACCCAAAGAATAAAAAAACACTAATTTGAAGGGATATATGCATTCCTATATTCACTGTAGTACTGTTTATAGTAGCCAAGTTATGGAAACAATCTAAATGTCCAGGAACAAACGAATAAATTAAAAAGATGTGGTGGGTCCTCCCTAGAAGCACAAGGGGTTAAGTCTCAGCTCTATGAAGCTGTAGACAGCCACTGCAGCATGAGTTCAATCCCCGGTCAGGGAGGTTTCTCTCCTGTCTTCTGTACCCCTCGGCAGTGTATTTCAGTTAATCTGCCTGTTCTGCCCCCCACTCTGTCTCTGGTGAATCCTCCCACACCTCTGGCCTACACCCCAGCTCTTGTATGCATAAATAAATCTTTAAAAAAAGATGTGTTACACATCCGCAATAAAAACTATGCAGTGTACTGTCATTTGGACAACATGATGGAGCTGGAGGAGGTTAGGCTAAGTGAGGTAAGTCGGGAGACAAAGACAAGTAACAGATGACTTTGCTTTTATGTCGAATATAGGGAACAACACAAAGGAATGGACAAAAAAACCAAGCCAAACAAACTCTAGAAAACTGACTGTAGAGGCAACTAGAGGGGGAGGGAAGAGAGAGAGAGCAAAGTGAGGAGGGGACCCAGGGTCCTATGGTAGAGGACCGCAGGTGTTTTTTGGTGTGGCATGGTGACATAATAGGAGGAGGTGTGACCCTATATTTTTGAACTATATATGGTGTTGTATACCATCACTGCTGCAATAAAAATAATGCAATTTTAAAAATATTAACACAAATAGATACATATATCACTAATCATAACAAATGTAAACAGACTGAACTCTTTAAAACTGTTAAAAGGGTAGTTATAAAACTCTGATTCAATGCAGATGATATTATCAATTACCGGGGAGGGGGGGAAATCAATGAAATTAACAAATAGCTATCAGAATTAATGAAAGTCATTAACTATAAGGTTGACCTATAGAAAACAACAGAATTTATTTTTATTTATTTCAAAAATACCTATAGAAGTATCATAAGAACAAAATGCCACTTAAACTAGTAAAAAATTCTAGGAATCAACAAAAATTTATAAAAATCTTGATTTGATAGGTTTCATAAAGTACACAGAAATTACATGACTTAATGATAGCCTACACTTCTGAGTTGGGAAAATTAATATTATAGTCAATCTTCTCAAGTTAGTTCATGAATTCCCTGGATTCTTGATCATAGTGGATTCCAAAACTCAAGTTTACAAAACATATATGGAAAAACATATTTATGTGCATAGGTCAATTTTGAAAATGAACTAAGAATGGAGACATGCCTTACTCAAAACTAAGGTGATGAGCAAATCTGTATAGAATAGGGAACTCAAAAAATGCATACCTACCCCCTTCACACACACACACAGACACACAAACTTAATATTCCACAAAGTTGGAGATCTAAATCAAAGAGATATATTGAATCAGCAACTCAATTAAAAATAAAAAACCTCTACATGACCAAAGCTATTGTGACCAGGACTGATGGAACAACAGATTGGGATGGTAGAAATGGAAAAAGAGAAAGTCCTATTTGGTGTAGGCTTTGGAGGCAATACAAATAGGATTGATTGCTGAACTGGATATCAGATTTAGTAGGTGAAAGAATGAGTAACTAGTGAAGAAAAAAATTGATGCTGCAAGAGAAAGAATGTCTGTGGGAGGAACAATTCTTGAACAGGTAGAGCACCGTATTCTGAGAGTGATCAGCAGGGCTAATTCTTGATGGGAGGAATCTAAGCAGAGAAAGTGGGTAGATACTGTCCTTTATACGCAGAGAAAACAACAACAAAATCACAGTGCATTTGCAGGAGCCCATTCAAAGACACACAAGTCAAAATCTAGATGGCAATCATTTGAAGGCATACGCCAACTACCAACTGCTTTAATTTGTGAGTAGTTTCCTAGGTGGCAAATGTGTAACTGTACAAGCTTTATCTAAAGGTGAACATTGTAACTCAGGCATACAACATACATTTCTTAAAATTCTTTGAAATAAAATAAATTGTACTTCTTAAAAAAAATCCTGTTTGATTAAAATTCAGTACATGAATGTGGATAAAGGAAACCATTTGAAAGATCTGTGTGTGTGCAGATTTTGACTCCTGTCATTTACTTCTATATTTTTAAATGCTATGGATGTATCAGTTTTTCCATGAACGAAAAGGGAGACTGGCTCTTAGAGAGAAGGTCTCTTCTCTGATGGGACAAATAAAGGCAAATTTGAAAATGACTTGTAAAGCTTTCTTTGTAGAGCTCAGAAAGAGCTCCCTTTTGCTCAGATAAAGGATTTGCAGTTGTGGGGCCTCCCTACTGGTGCAAGGTGTTAAGAACACTCAGAATGAAGCTATCTGCAGCCACTGCAGCGTGAGTTCCATCTGCAGCCAAGGACAGCTGGCCCACATGATGCGGCAGACCTCTCCTGTCTCTCCTGCTGCTCTCCTCAAAAGTGTATTACAGTAGATGCGCTTGTTCTACAGTCTACTGTTTTTGATGAATCCTCTTACCTCCCACATCTCCAGTCTTTACCCTAGCTCTTATATGTATAAGTAAAATAAATCATAAAAAAAAGTCTTTGCAGTTGCACTCATTGCCTGGTGACAATATAGACAATATATAGTGTTTTAAAAGTGAGACTGGTTGAGCCCAACAAAGAATTTGACCACATTTACTGCGGAGGCTGAGCTTCTCAGGCATTCCTCAGCAACACTGACAAGCACGATGGTAGCGTGGTTAGAACAGGGGTGTTAAAGCAATCTGGGTGTGCCTACCCGGCTGATTAATTTAATTATGTGTCAGGGACAGGGGAGGAGGACGGCAAAGAAGATACTGGAACAGGAGCTACATAGGAGCCCTGGAGTGATGTAAGAGGTTGGCAGGATACCTGGAGAGGGTCCCAAGTTTGTCAATGATTTATTGTGAGGGGCCATACGCAGAGATTGCCCTCCACGGGGGCCTTTCTATTTTGTATAAATAAAAGAGTTATACAAATAACTTGAAAAGACTGTATAATAGGTTGTGTCTATACAGTTGTGGGTTTTCTTCTTCTTTTTTGCTTCATTTTTCACTTTATGTTTTTAGCCACAAAACAAATAGCCTCAATCCCAAAGTGTGAGAAAGCTATAAACAACAACTCCAGTTGAATTAGGGCAACTCTCCATGTACTGGAAAAGACATACCTTAAGGCACAAAAGAGGGAACAAGAAGGGAAATAAACAAAGCCAAATGCCTGCTCACATGTGAACCCCTTAACTGGCCTTTTAAACCAAGTTTCTCCTTTGATCCACATTTCACTTCACAGATGAAAAACTGAGATTTGAACTCCAGTCTATGCTCCCCTTTCTTGGAGTTAAGACAGGTGAAGAAAAATGAGAATGGTCAGCAGACAGCTGTCACATTGGCTTACTCCACACCTCTCACACTGTCAGTGCCCAAAATGTTGCCCGAGACTTGGGTCATGGGGCTGGGCCTGTGGACAAGCTGTACCAGGTATTTAGCCCACCCCTGGCCTAAGCCATGTTCCCTCCCTTCTAAGTAGTTGGCTTCACAACAGCTATGACCTAGTAATTAGGAAGTGAACAGGTAGCTCTAAATACAATCAAACATAATTTTAAAAACAAACATGACAGGTTGATCCCACATAGTCTCACCTTTGCTGGAGCAGTATCCCTGGTGTTTCTTGCTGAATGCCTCGCCTGTTTCTGGGATTTTGCTTCCTTTTCCCTGGGAAAGAGGAAGAAACAGCATAGCTGAGACTTACTTGACTAACTTACATTGATACAAGCAGACAAGGTAAACTTAATTTTGACTTTTCTCCTCAGCTCTACTGGCTTGTCAGCAGTGAAGGTAGGTCCAGAGATGGGCACAAGCACCACACATCTCTCCTCAGTGCAGGGCAATTATTTCAAACATGGCTCTACAGAAGGGAGGAATTGCTACCTTAACTGCATAATACTTCCAAAATCCAGGTGGTCACTAGCTGTCACTGAAACACCATAATCACATTGAACTCAGATTTGCCAGCCCGATTCTGATGCCAAAGGACCCACAGGGCAAATTCAGCATTTTGAGGTTAGCTTTTATCTATCCCACCATCTCCTTTCTAGGTGAAGAAATTATGTTTATGCCAACAGAACTTACTTAGGTTGACAAAAATAGTAACTGAGTAAGTCATTTCAAAGCGATGTGTTACAAGGTACTTTACTTGGCTTTAAATTATTTTTTCCAGTAGATTTATTGTGTCCACACTATCATTCTCCTATCAAAATACCATATGCCATAAGAAGGTAACTTTACAGTGAACAATACTCCTTGCAGGTTTACATTCATCTTTAAAGGGAATGAGAAAGGATTGTCCCACTTGCCCTGAGCAACCCCCAACTCAATACTGCCCTGCATTGCTTCATTTCCCACAGTCTTATCCCTGGAAGCAGCTCATATGATCAGAGCTTCTGAATCCCAATATATTTGACCATTTTAAATTTAATTGCTTGACACACACACCAGCCTGGCATTTGAAAAGCTAATTACACCATAATTATCTTCAATGGGTGAGCTTAACATTGGCTTTGTACCAGCGTTCACGTTTTGAATGTAGTGAGAAATTGGGAATAACTTCCCTATTCAAAACCAAGTTGGGGCACGCTGAAGATTTGCAATCGATAACTCAAGCCTGCTTTCACCTACCTGGTATCACTGGAGAGAAGGATAAAGCCAGGAAGCATTGCACAGCTGGTGCCAGTTTCCAGAACAGTTTCCAGAATACTAGTTCTTTCTGAGTTACAGGGAGTTGGGCATGCTAATTAACTCTTTAGTTCATCTCACCCCTAATCCCACTTATCTGAAGACACTGATGCCTACAGTGTCTAGGTGGATTCTCCTTAAATGCCCCCGCGGGATGGCCACTTCCTTGGGCATTATTATCAAGGAGATTTTCTCAGTCTTCAGGGGACAGCAGAGAAAAGGTCTTCACAGGCCCTGGAAACTTGATTTTCTTTCTTACATTCTTTGGAAACTACTGTGGAACTACAGCCTCAAAAGACAAAGTGCTACAAAGGACTTAAAAGTGCTACCTAAGTTGTCACTACGAGGCCCTCCGGGGTGTCCTGAAATACCACCTGAGTGACTATTAAAATCTTTTCAAGTGGGGGGCACTTATCCAAATTTGTCAGAGTGATGAACTTGTCAGTGTCAGAGTGATCTGTTAAGCATCTTTAACTATTTAGATTTACAAATATGTAGCTGGCAGGAAATAAAAAGAATGCATTTACCAGTTTAGAGAAACATTATTAACAAACACTTTGAAAAAAGAGAACTTTACTTACAGTATGATTTTACATGTAGCACACTTCTTGATGGACATTACTCCTTCAGGGCTTTGGAAAAGGTGTTTGCCTTGGGAACAGAACAATTTCCCATTTTTCATCAATGGCCGATATTCATTGCAGAGTTCCTAAGGAGAAAATGAAAAAAAAAAAAAAGTTGCATGTACTGAAATCTCATCAAAGTAAGAAGTGCTACCTTGTGCTACTGTTGGTAATACCTTCTAAGAAGCCCTTCCTCGAGTAATAGTATTTAAGGACTCCTGCCTGCCTCGTGTGAGAGACATTCATTCAGTTCATACAAAAACAAACAAAACTGATGACTCTGGGTTATCTGCTACATATTATAATGGAATTAATGTATACTGAAAACAATTAATAAAGTGAAAAAAAAAAAGAATTTGAAATCAAAAGACCTGAGCTCATATGCCAGGGTTCTCGGTTACAACCCTCACATAGCAAATTAACTTCTCAAGGGTCCACTCATCCTATCTGCAAAATACAGGGCATACACATACAGGTATTTCATGGGCTTTATTAGGATTAAATAATGTAAATATGTATGTAAAAACCTCAAAGAATGTCTGATACATAGTAGGTTTTCAATAGGCAGATTTGTCTCCTCTCTCCTCCCTTCTCCTTTATTGCTACATTGTCACTGTTGTTTTCATATTATTATTGGAATATGTTAAAGTGACACATTTAAAGTAACTAGCACACAGTAGGTCAATGATTGTTGTAGGAATAAAACATTGCTGGAGGTGGGAGACACACATTGTGTGAGCACTGAAAGTTGTGTAGTCACTCTCCCATATTTCCCCAGAGGTGAGGTACAAGATTCCAGTACCTAGAAATGCTAATAGTTGTTAAAAAAAAAAAAAGATTACTACATGTTTGGAAAAGATATTTCTAGAATAGCTCCTTTTTGAATAAACCTCAGGCCCATTAATATATTCTGTCCTGGAGCAGACGTACCTTAGAGCTAATGAGACTTAAGTTTTAGGTCCATCCCTTCCCATACCCCTTTCTGGAAGAGGCTTAGCCATATTTTCAAATTTGTATTGTTCCCTTTAGAAGCCCCCCATCCCCTCGCCAACCACCACTCCACCATTTCAACACCACTAACACAATTTCAACACTCAACATAAACCCGGGGAGCCCACGGACATGCACTCCAGTTCCTTAAAACTTGTGTAAACGTTCACCTCTTTTACTCACTTGTTCTTTTGGAGTCATATTTTTCTGGAGCTACGATTTATTGTTCTTTGTGACATTGTTCAAAATGTGGTGTACTCTACTCAGTCTTGATTTACTTCATGTAAATGCCAAAGCAGACACCATACCAAGTTTAGAGAGGAGAGAAACTATTTTGGAAGGGAGCTGTGCTCACCACTATACCATCAACACTGGAAATGATTTTGAATAACAGGATAAGTAGAAATAAGGAGAGTGAAAATATCTTTAAAAGTGAGGGGTCTTTATTTTCACTCATACAATGTATTTTACTGAAGCCTACTATAGCTACTCACTATTTTCTAGGTACTTAAAAATCACTGCATTACTTAGTAAAGCACTGCTTTAAAATGTTATGCTCCCTATATGTTTAGAAAGTCACTGGGCCTTTAAAGCAAGTCTTTGGGTCCCAAGTCTTTTTTGGTTTTGCCAAAACAATCCTTCTTCAAGATGCTTGTAAGAGACAAATAAGTAAATTTAGTCTTTGCTCCAACTCTGACACATACAACCTCTTCCAAAGGACAGACTGCAGAATCTGTTCAGACTTTATAATAATCACTTAACCATTCAACAAACATTTCCTATGCGATTACAATGCTATGCACCATGAATGTACCAGTAAAACAGGCAGGAGATTTCTGCCTATGTGGTGCTTACCTGCCAGTGGCTAAGAGCACACTTAATCTCGCCTACTGAACATATGAGGCAGTTGGTATCACTTGCAGAATGATGAATGGGACACAATAACAACTAAATAAAATTAGAGACCAACCCTGAGAAATTTTGTGAAGAGTGACCTACTAAAATATCTTTAAGATTATTACCACCACCCTGCGATCTTATCTGAGTAGTACAATAATAATTTTGGGCAACACACTGACATCTGGGCCAGATGTGTGCCTTGTCTGATTCTATTTACCAAGTACTGTTTAGCTTGCCAGATATACTGATTTCGTTTGAGTCTGGACTAAAACCTCATCACAGAATCAGAGAAGAGTTTGAGCCTTTGTAATACAATGATATCCCTTATGAGGTTGGTCTTAAAGTCTTGAAAACAAAGATTTATGATAACACAAGAATGAAGACTTAAATAATGATTAAAGAGTGCCTGTTACATAGTAGATATCCCTGAACCTCATCAATCAAGAACAATATCAAAAAAGATATTCCTGAATTGACTTCTCTAATGTCACAATTAAACGAATGTCTAATACCTAGAAACACCCATATTGTTTCCGAACAGACAACTGTGATCCAGACAGCAGGTTAAGAAACTTGCTCATAGTATTTAATTGTGATGACAAATTCAGGCATATGGAAGAGATCCTTGCAGATTACTACAGTGATTTTCCACACTGTTATGGCTTAGCTTTATAATTTTCCATAAGCTTTTGTAATACTAGAAAGAACTGAAGCTACTGAGCTTGGCAAATAAAAAACCTAGGACCAAAAAAAAAAAAAAAAAGACTAAATTAGTATCAATGCTTTTTGCTTCTAAAAAAATATCCAAAGAGGCCCTCTCTGGTGGTGCAGCGGGTTAAAGCACAGCACTGAGAAGCTAAAGCCGCTTCCGCATGATTTCGATTCCCACCTGCCCCGGAGGTGACCACATGGTGTGGCAGACCTCTCCTGACCCACCCACTGCTCCCCTCAGCAGTGTACTTCGTCGATCTGCCTGTTCTGTTCCCCGCTCTGTCTCTGGTGAAGCCTCTCACTGTCCCTGAGCCTCTGGCCTGTACCCCAGTTCTGTACGCACAAATAAATAAATCTTTAAAAAAAAAAATCCAAAGATTATGACCAGAACTATCTCTAGAGAAATAATTATTTCTTGGTGTTCTTGTTAATACCAACACAAGGGCAGACTAAATTTATGTTTTCAGATAATTTGTTTTCAGTGAAATATAGCTTAATGGTAGTGATAATCATCACCACAAAACTTGAAATATCCACTAGGAATCACCACCCACTAAAACTTCATGCACAGTGAGATTCACATTTAAATCCTCTTCTAGCCAGTATAAAATATTCCAATGAGCCTGCTCTTCAAGTTCCCCAAACTCAACTCTTTTCCCTACTCTACCTTATCACTCACACCACAGAGGTTTCTGAGCCTCTCCTTTAACAACAAACTTACATGAGAAAATAGAGACCAAGCCAAAATTCTTCCAGTGTTCCTGTAGTGTGATGGAAACATTGTTTTACTATTTCAGAGTAGAGACATAGAAGGTGTTTGCTATGTACCTAACACTATTTAAGTACTGACTTAATGACTCAGTTGTATATGTCTGTCCTTTACCTGGTGTTCTGAATAGGGTTAAAAAAATTAACATCTATAGAAAACTATACTTTGACTTGTAAAACAAAAATCTCTGAGAGTTGGTCTCTCCCAAGTCAGAGCCTCTCCCATCATAAACCTTTCTTAATCTATTACAAATGGCGAAAATCTTCATATCTCATGCCCTTATCCCTTAAGATCCTTGCTTCAATGTTGTCTTTTCAGGGAGAATTTACCTAACTAGCCCACAGGGGAGTGACATCCCAGAATTCCTATCCCAAATCCTGCTTCTCCTTTTCTCCAGCCACGAATCATCATTTCATGTATGATGCATTTTAATAATTTACTCTTTTACTTGTCTGTTTTCCTCCACTAAGATGTAAGCTCCTTGAGGCCAGGGTTTTTAATCTATTAACTGTAGAATATGCCCAGCACTTCACACAGCAATTCCAATAAAAAAATTTCCACTAGCATTTTTGAGTATTTGATTTACAACTTTTTGCTTCTTTCTCTATAATACACTGGGCTGTTAATTTTGCAAGTCTATCTATTTAACAGAAATAGATTAATAAGCAACAGCAAAGTAGCACAAGTTCTATCACAAATTCTATTAACTTCTGGTTTCCTCCAAGAAAGTCTTGGCCAAAATGTCAAAGGGTTACTCTTAAAGTACAAGGTTAAAACTCAAGGTAACGGTGTTCTGTTTATACAAAAGGGTTTTCCCCTTGCAGTGCCCATATAAAAGTCTTACACATATGACTGTCTCATATCCAAGGTCATGTTCTCACATACATCTTGTACCAGAAAATGGATTCAGAGGTCCTTCAAAAGCTATTGTACAATAAATGAATATATGATACAAAAGGAATAATGAAGGGGAAATAAACTATAGCAGATATGAAGGTCAACCAGAATTCAGTGGGCAAGAAAGGAACTGTGATTATCTATCTCAATCTATTTTTAGCTCTCATCCCACTGGATTTTTGGAGAATGAATGTCCCTGTAGCTCAGGGTTCTATTCTATTCCCGAAGTTTAGGATTACTGAAAATCCTAAAGAAACCTAAGAAACTTCTTCAGAGGTTTTTGTGAGCTGAGTTTCTAAAATCAGAAGGCAGGAACAGTCTCCTGTTTTTTCTTCTTCTTTCTGCTAATACATCCTTTCTCTGAAACATGAGTACAGACTCAAGGCTGTAGGTGGGAGTGAAGAATTAGGTTTGGAAATACTGGGGAGAAACATCATTTGACGCTATACAAATAGAACTCTCTGTCCTTTCCAGCCCAGCAGAGCATCCACCATCTCTGACGAGTCCTCCCTGTTATCTCCCCATCAAAGTCTCTCCTGTCCCTTTCATTTGCATTTTTGGGGCACCTAGCCATCGCGCCTCATGCAAAACTATTTTGTTTCTGTCTCCTCTATAGACTGCAAACTCTCAGAAAGCAGAGCTTAATTTACTCATCTTTGAGTTTCCTACATCTGACACAGTTCTTGAGCTGAGTAGGGCAGCGATACATAAGTGAAATAAGGACTAACTTGTCTTTTAGTTTAGCATGGATATGGAATTATAAAACACTCTTTAAAACACAGATTGTCTCTGCCAAACAACCACTATCATTAATAAGTT